TTCGGCGTGGACGTATCTCTGTAGCGGGCAGTGTGAGTGTGTATGATTGCGAATACTAACACACAGGTAGTTTCGTCCGGGATTCGTCTCTGCATCTGATCTGATTCAAATTGTTTTTTTAATGATGATTTTGTCCGCTCAGCCCTAATAATGTAGCTGTCGTCAATATCTTATGTCTAGCGTCTATATCTAGCATCTACATCTACATCTACCTCTACTGTACTCTCATCTACATCTACAATCTAGCTCTACATCTTACATGTACTCTACATCTACATCTACATCTACATCTACCTCTCACATCTACATCTTTACATCTACATCTACATCTACATCTACATCTACACCTACACGCGTACATCTCATTATATTCAGATCTACAGCTACATCCCTCACCATCTACATCTACTCTACATCTACACCTAATCGTTACACCTACATCTACATCTACATCTTACATTACCTTACATCTAGGACATCTAACACCTACACCTACATCTACATCTATATTCAGCATATACCTACGTCTACCATTAAATCTACACCTACATCTTACATCTAACCTCTACACTCCTACCACCTACCTCTACAGTCTACTCTACATCTACATCTACATCTCATGCTACATTCTTATATTCACGGATCTACATGCTAGCATCTAATCTACATCTACCCTACCTCTACACTGCTACATCTGACACCTACATCCTACTCTAATTACATCTACACGCTACTCTACATCTCCATCTACATGCTAGCATCTACTCTACTCTACATCTTATATTCACATCTACAGTCTACATCTACGCATCTACATTAGCATCTACATGCTAAATCGTACATCTACAGCTTACATCTACATCTACATCTACATCTACACTAAACTATAGATCTACATTGCTGTACGAATCTACAGTCTACATCTACATCTGACATCTACATGCTATATTGCACTCTACATCTACATCTACACTCTACACCCTACAGTCTACATATAAATCTACATCTAACTCTACTCTCATTATTACCATACTACATCTACATCTACATCTACATCTACCATCTACATTCTAATGCTACTTACATGCTAGCTCTACACCTACATGCTACATCTACACCTACACCTACATCAATCTACATCTACATCTACATTACATGTACTACTACATCTACATCTAGCCTACATCTAGCACCTACATCTAGCTCTGCACCTACACCTACATCTACTTTACATTTACTATCTACATCTACATACATCTCCATCTACATCTAGCACTCTACATCTACATGCTACATTACACCTACACCTACGATCTATATTCAATCTACAGCTACTCTACATCTATATTCCATCTACACCTAGCATCTACATCTATATTCACATCGTACAACGCGTACATCTACATCTACATCTACATCTACATCTACATCTACACCTACTGTACATGGCTACACTACATCTGCATACTATCATCTACATCTCACCTACATCTACATCTGCACGCTATCACTACATGCTTACATTTACACTCTTACTTCTACATCTACATCTACTCTATATTCCGATTAGCATCTACATCGACACCCTACATCTACAATCTAGCAGTCTACATCTACATTCAGCGATCTACATCTACACTCTACACCTACACTACATCTACATCTAGTATTCCATCTACACCCGTACTCTACATCTACATCTTACGATCCTACCTCTGCATTACATCTAGCATCTAACCCTACCATTAACATCTACCACTAACCTAATCTCTATCTACATCTACATCTATGCATCTACACTAACTCTAGCAGTTACATCTACATTGCTAGCATGCTAGCATCTACCTTACACTCTCATCTACTCTACATCTACACGTACATCTACATCTACATCTACATCTACACCTACATCTACATCTACATCTACTCTACACGTACACCTACATTAACATTTACATTTCATTCCCATCTACATCTAGAGCATCTACATCTACATCGCTATCTATGTCTATCTATCTATTCTATCTATCTATCTATCATCTATCTATCTATCTATCTATCTATCTATCTGTAGATGTAGATGTAGATGTAGATGTAGATGTAGATGTAGATGTAGATGTAGATGTAGATGTAGATGTAGATGTAGATGTAGATGTAGATGTAGATGTGAATATAGATGTAGATGTAGATGTAGATGTAGATGTAGATGTAGGTGTAGATGTAGATGTAGAGGTAGGTGTAGATGTAGATGTAGATGTAGATGTAGGTGTAGATGTAGATGTAGAGGTAGGTGTATATGTGAATATAGATGTAGATGTAGGTGTAGATGTAGATGTAGATGTAGATGTAGATGTAGATGTAGATGTAGATGTAGATGTAGATGTGAATATAGATGTAGATGTAGATGTAGATGTAGATGTAGATGTAGATGTAGATGTAGATGTAGATGTAGATGTAGATGTAGATGTAGATGTAGATGTAGATGTAGATGTAGATGTAGATATAGACCTAGACATAGATATTGACGACAGCTTACAGGGTTATTAGGGTGAGGGACAAAATCATCATGAAAACAATTTGAATCAGATCAGATGAGAGACGAATCCCGGAAAACTACCTGTGTGTATGTATTCGCAATCATACACACTCAACTCGCCCGTACAGGAGATACGTGCCCGCATGCTAGGATATAGACAGCTTTGGTCACAAACATGGTGTCACGCTGTCACCACATTTTCATACGCAGTATATTATTGTCTATACCTTGTCTGTATCTTGCCTGTACCTTGCCTTCCCTTGTCTGTACCTGCCTATACCTTGCCTATACCTTGCCTATACCTTGCCTATACCTTGCCTATACCTTGCCTATACCTTGCCTGTACCTGGTCTGTACCTTGCCTGTATCTTGCCTGTATCTTGCCAGTGCCTTGCCTGTACTTTCCCTGTACCTTGCCTGTACCTTGCCTTACCTTGCCTGTACCTTGCCTGTACCTTGCCTGTACCTTGTCTGTGCCTGTCAGTAGTACCCTGATACTAAATCTCGCTCGCACGTTCTAGTCGAGTTATGAGCCTTCGCATTTACGTGAAAAATAAGTCCTGTTTTATCGAGCTCGCAAGACAATGGTGGCTTCTGCTATTCACATGGACTGGGGCAGGCGTTCCCACAGCTTTAATTAAACTGAACAGGTAATGTCAGGCGCATCGATATATCACGCATGTACTAGCCGTAGAAGAAAAGAAGCATGCATTCACGCACGTACGCATGCACGCACGCACGGAGGCGCACGCACACACGCGCACGCATGCACGAACGCAAACGTCCGCAAGCACGCACGCACGCGCGAAGGTTACTGTCGTTGTGCGCCAAGAATCATAAGCTAGCAATGATAGCACGCCTTCAGCTGCCATTCACAGAGAAAAACTCATAACTGCCCGCCGACATTGTACGGATGCACGTACATACGCGCTCATTACAGTCGTCTGCTTTGTCGTGACGTTACTGATTACAAGTGGGAACAAACATCGAAGCAAAATGTTGGAAAAATAAGTCTCGTCTGTGACTGCTACATGCGCTTCCTGCGCTATTCACGACAGCTATGGCCGCGGGGTACGTATATCTCGGTTTACTATAGCCTTCGCTGCGTTGCAGCTAACGCGCTAAAACAGACGTACTCGGTTGGTGTTCGGCCACTAGTCGGTGGATTGGGCGTCTGAGCTCACAAACTTGGGGGAGAAGCCCACACATTATTACACGTTTGAGTCTTAGCCATGCAACGCTATGAACTGCGATATTCACTGAAGAGCCAACTGCGAACAACACGATTCCTAATGCTATTTAATGTAATTCGATTGCTCACAAATTGGGGGAAGAAAGAACCCCACACATTAGAACACGTTATAGCAGTAAGTGACGCTACGTTAGCAACGAACGGCAAAATCTAACTCTACTTCTCTGCTAGTCACTGTCTTGTCAGGTTCATCGAACTCCTTGTTATAAATTTAAATATTCCCCTGAAAGGGTCTCTCTCTCTCTCTCTCTCTCTCTCTCTCTCTCTCTCTCTCTCTCTCTCTCTCTCTCTCTCTCTCTCTCTCTC